GCAGCAGCAGCAGCAGCAGCAGCAGCAGCAGCAGCAGCAGCAGCAGCAGCAGCAGCAGCAAGAGTGGGTGTTAGAGGTTTACCTCTTTGCGCAGCTTCTCGAGTTCAGTTTTGAAGTTTGCATTTAGTTTGAGACCCTTGAGGTCGATGGCCTTCACAGCCAGGACCGCGTCCTGGTCTTCTGCTGCTGCTGCATCCCCCCGCTGCTGCTGCTGCTGCTGCTGCTGCTGCTGCTGCTGCTGCTGCTGCTGCTGGCGGACACGTTTGCACCTGAAGACTGTGGAGGCGCTGCCAGAGCCAATGGGGTCCAGCAGCTCATAGACAGCGCCGTTGCTGCCTTCGAACCACCTGCCAGTTTCGAGGCCCAGAAGAAACCGCCTGTCTGCTGCTGCTGCTGCTGCTGCTGCTGCTGCTGCTGCTGCTGCTGCAGGCTCTGCTGCTGCTGCTGCTGCGGGGGCGCTGGGGACTCGCTGCATTTCCTCTGCAGTCAAGTCGGAAGTGCTGGAAGTCGCATCGGCTCTTGGGGGGCCCTTGGGGGCCATAGCTGCGGTGTACGTACACCCGAAGGCGCAGCAGCAGCGGCCGCGGCGCCGCTGCTGCAGCAGCCGCTGCTGCTGCTGCTGCTGCTGCTGCTGCAGCAGCTCGCGGGGAGAAGGCGGGGCGCAGCGGAAGAGGAACGCGCTAGTGGTGGCCAGCGGGCTCCGCGGTGTACGTACACTCCACACACCGCAGCGCAGCCACTGCCACTTGGGAAGTTTTGCGGAAAGCCAAAAGAGAAACTGGAGAAAAGAAAAGCAGCAGCAACTGCAGCAGCTGCTGCAGCTGCAGCAGCTCTCGTGCTGCTGGGCTGCAGCAGCAGCAGGACTTGGAGGAGGGCTGCAGGGGGCCTTGGCCGCGGAAAGCTGAGAAAAGGAAAGTCGCGTTGAGTTCCTCCGCAAGTTCTGTGGACTGCAGCGCAGCAGCAGCAGCAGCAGCAGCAGCAGCAGCAGCAGCAGCAGCAAAAGCCCGCTGCATGCGGGCCCGAAACGCCGCAGCGACGGCGCCTGCGGCTGTCGGCCGGCGCCGCCGCCGCGCGCAGCAGCTCTTGGCGCGGAAACAGCGAAAAAAAAAGGTCTTCCGTTGCCTGGGGGTCCCGAAAAGCGGAAACTCTCCGCTTCCAGCCCGTGTGCAGCAGCGAGCTGCGGGAAGAGTGACCCAAAGGACTTTAAAGTTTTATTTTCCTCGAGTTTGCGGAGAAATTCAACAATTCGGCGCAGCTTTCCGCGAGTTTGCGCCGACTGCGCGTTTCGGAGCCGCTGAGGCGGCGAGGTGTCTGTACACCGCGGCGGTGCCCGCGCGTGCGCAGTCCTGTGCAGAACTCCGCCGATCTTCGGCGCTGTCTTTCAGTTTTTCTTCGAATTTGGACTTTGCGGGATTAATTTGAGAGTTTTTTGCTGAAATGCTGGTCGCGAGTGCGAAGAAGCCGCTGGCGGGCGCGGCGTCGCCGCGTTTCGGCGCGGCGCTGTGCGGGAAGCGGGCGCGGAGCGGACTGGAAAGCGAGCGATCCGGGCTCTGCGGCGCTCCCCAGCGGCTCTTTTTTTTGCAGAAACTTTCCCAAGACGGCCTGCGTGGTGAGGCGAGCTTTGAAAGTCCCTGCTGCGCGTTTGCAGCCACTTCTCGCGGCTGTGCAGCGAGCGCCGCGAAGGGCCGGCTGCTCGCGCTGGCCCGCAGCGCCGCGCAGCAGCAAGAGCTCTTCGACGGCTTCTCCAGAACTGCCAGCGAGCGCTGCGAGCCGCTCTTTGAAGTCCTTTCGGAGCTCTCTAAGGCTCTCCGCGAGGACTGCGGGCTGGCCTTCCCCGCTGCTGCTGCTGCGCTGCAGCAGCTGCAGCGCAGCGCCGCAGGCCTTTCCCAAGTGCTGCAGCGGCTCGCGGCCAGAAAGGCCGCGGGGGCCCTCGAGGCCCAAAAGCTCGAAGGCCAAATTCAAAACTGCAGCGCCAGGGCCGCTCTGCTGCAGCAAACAAACCCGCAGGTAAAAAGGCCCTTTTGCTTCTTTTTTTCAAGTCTTTGTTGCTTTTTTGTTGGATTATTTGTTTGTTGGATTCTTTTGTTTGAAGGATTCTTTTGTTTTTGGATTCTTTTGTTTGTTGGATTCTTTTGTTTGAAGGATTCTTTTGTTTGAAGTCTTTGTTGCCTTTTGTTGGATTCTTTTGCTTCAAGTCTTTGTCAAGTTGTGTTTATTTGCTTCTTTATTTCAAGTCTTTCTTGCTTTTGTTTGTTGGATTCTTTTGTTTGAAGATTCTTTTGTTTGAAGTCTTTGTCAGTATTTGTTTATTTGCTTCTTTTGTTTGAAGTCTTTGCCATTTTTTGTTTTTTTGCTTTTTTTATTTGAAGTCTTTTGTGAACTTCTGTCGCCTTTGCTTCATTTCTCAGTTTGCGTCTCTTGGGTTATTTCTTGCAAATATTTAATTAATTAATTAGAAATGCAAAATTATTAATTAATTAATTAATTAATCAATTAATTAATTAATTAATTAATTAATTAATTAATTAATTAATTAATTAATTGATTAATTAATTAATTTGCATTTCTTTGATTCATTCTTCAAATCTTTTGTTAATTTGCACTTCTTGAGCCCGTTTGTTTCAAATCTTTTGCCAGTTTTGAATCATTTGATTTATTTGTTTGAATCTTTCACTAATTTGCACTTCTTTATTATTTTATTTGTTATTTATTTTATTTATTATTATTTTATTTATTATTTTATTTATTTTTAATTTCTAATTTCAACTTTCAGCTTCAAGAAAGGCTGGCGGCTTTGAAGTGCGCAATAGAGGAAAAGCAAAGCGGCCGCCAATACCTGGAGTTGGCCGCGCGGCCAATTGCAGAACAAGTCCGTAAAATAAAAAATAATAAATAAATAAATAAATAAATAAACAAATAAATAAATAAATAAATAAATAAATAAATAAATAAATAAAAATAAATAAATAAATAAATAAATATAACAAAATGATTTGTTGTTTGCTTCAGAAGCAGCAGCAGCTGCTGCTGTGCAGCGGACTTGAAAAAGAAATTCAAATTCAAGAAATTGAAAACAAAAACTTGAACGAAAATATTTCCCAAGTCCGCGCGGCCCACGCGGCTTGGCTTGCGGGCCAAAGAGCTTCGCTGCAGCAGCTGGTGAGGAGAAGTTAATTTAATTCAACTTGCAAGCAAACGCAGTTCATTTGCTGCTGCTGCTGCTGCTGCTGCTGCTGCTGCTGCTGCTGCTGCTGCTGCTGCTGCTGCTGCTGCTGTTCTGCTGCTGCTGCTGCTGCTGCTGCTGCTGCTGCTGCTGCTGCTGCTGCTGCTGCTGCTGCTGCTGCAGCAGGGAAGCAGCGCGGAGTGCAGGCAGCAGCAGCTGCTGCTGCAGCAAGAAGCAGCAGCTCTTGAAGAGGAAATTAAAAAACTCGAAAAAAATAAAACAAATGAAGAAGCTGCACTTTTGCTGCTCAGCGCCCAAGTCGACAGCCAGGGCTTTTGCCTCGAGCTGCTGCTCTCTCGTGCTGCAGCAGCAGAAGAGGAGATTTCAAATTTCAACCAAGTAAAACAAATAAACAAATAAATAAATAAATAAATAAATAAATAAATAAATAAATAAATAAATAAATAAATAAATGGGTGAATAGATAAATAAATAATGATCGAAGTTCCATTCAATTCAACTTTGCATTTTGGCATTCAAAGTCCCCAAATGGAGGCAAATTAACTCCCAAGACGCGCAATTTAATTAAATTTAAAAGTTTGAAAACTTTTTAAATTCAAATTCATTTTTTCTTTTCAGAAACTCGAAGAAGTGCAAAAACGCAAAAAGGAACTTTCCGAAAAAATTGCCGAGACCGAAAAGCTGCTCCCTTCGCTGCTGCAGGCTGTGAGCTGTTGTTGAAGAGAAAATAAAATGTTTTGCTTTTTAATTCATTTTAAAACAAATATTTCGCATTTTAATTCATTTTAAAACAAATATTTCGCATTTTAATTCATTTTAAAACAAATATTTTGCGTTTTAATTCATTTTAAAACAAATATTTGGCATTTTAATTCATTTTAAAACAAATATTTGGCACTTTAATTCTTTTTGAATTCAGATCGGGGCCCAGGAAGCCGCGCTGCAGCAGCAGTTGAGGTGAGTGCCAACAGCTGCAGCAGCAGCAGCAAGTGCAGCAGCAGCAACGCGTGCTTCCGCAGCAAACTGGAAGCAGCTGCTGCGCTGCAGCAGCAGCAGCAGCAGCAAAACAATTTGCTGCAGTTCAAAATCGGCGAAGTCCGCAGCGCCGCTGCTGCTGCAGCAGTTCGCATTTTGGACTTGGAAAAGGCGCAGCGAAGGTCAACTGAATTGGCGCAGGAAAAGGTAATTAATTTAATTAATTTAATTAATTTAATTAATTTAATTAATTTAATTCATTTAATTTATTTAATTTATTTAATTTATTTAATTTATTTAATTCATTTAATTCATTTAATTTATTTAATTTATTTAATTTATTTTAATTCTTTTGTTTCAGGCCAACCAGATCTTCATGTTTGCAGAAGAAATGCAAGTCCGCTTCAGCGCCGAAGACTCTCCCGCCGAAGTCGCCGCAGCAGCAGCAGAAGAGGCAAACGAAAAAGTAAATTAAATTCAAAATTAAATTCTAAATTAAATTCTAAATTAATTCAAAATTAATTCTAAATTAATTCTAAATTAATTCTAAATTAAATTCCAAATTAAATTCTAAATTAAATTCTTAATTCAAAATTAAATTTAAAATTAAATTCTAAATTAAATTCTAAATTAAATTCTAAATTAAATTCAAAATTGAATCAAAATTAATTCTAAATTAATTCTAAATTAATTCTAAATTAAATTCTAAACTAATTCAAAATTAATTCAAAATTAAATTCAAAATTAAATCAAAATTAATTCAAAATTAATTCAAAGTTAAATTCAAAATTAAATTCTAAATTAAATTCAAAATTAGTTCAAAATTAAAATCTAAATTAAATCAAAATTAATTCAAAATTAAATTCAAAATTAAATCAAAATTAAATTCCAAATTAATTCTAAATTAAATTCTAAATTAAATTCTAAATTAAATTCAAAATTAGTTCAAAATTAAAATCTAAATTAAATCAAAATTAATTCAAAATTAAATTCAAAATTAAATCAAAATTAAATTCAAAATTAAATTCTAAATTAAATTCTAAATTAAATTCTAAATTAAATTCAAAGTTAAATTCAAAATTAAATCAAAATTAAATCAAAATTAATTCTAGATTAATTCTAAATTAATTCTAAATTAAATTCTAAATTAATTCAAAATTAATTCAAAATTAAATTCAAAATTAAATTCAAAATTAGATTCAAAATTGCTTTTAATTTATTTCTTTTTATTGTATTTTCTTGGCCTCGTTTTTCCACTTATTTCCCACTTTTGCGTTTTTCGGTCTTTTTAATTTTAACTTATTCATTTATTGTTTATTTCCTTTTAATTTCAATTAATTAATTTATTTATTATTTATTTAATTATTTAATTAATTAATTAATTATTTATTTATTTATTTATTTATTTATTTATTTATTTATTTATTTATTTATTTATTTATTTATTTATTTATTTATTTTCGTTTTCAGGTGGAGAGGCTGAAGAGCGCGTTGCTGTCGACGCAGCGCATGGAAGAAGCGGCGAAGGGGAAAAGCGCAGAAGTTGAAAAAAGTGATTTTGGCATTTTGGGGTTTAAAGAAGTCGAAAAAATTGGAATTAAAAGCAATTAAAAGCTAAAAAGAAACTAATTAATTAATTCTGTCCTTTTAAATGCCTAATTGTCTTTTTTAACTTCAAAAAGCGCTTTTAAAAGAACTCTTTTGTTTTTTTTTTCAGACTTTTTTGCTCTCGAAAAAGAACTCGCGGCGGGCCGGCAGCTGCTGCAGCCAGCAGCGACTTTGCGCAGCAGGTGAAGTCGAGAATAAAATGGACTTTTAAAAAAATTATTTGAAAATTAATTTTCTTTAAATGAATTTATTTTAAATTCATTTTAAGGGACTTGAAGAGCCAGTTGGAGGCCTTCAACGCAGCAGCAGCAGCAGAAATCCGGGAAGTAACTGCGAAAATAACAGCAGCAAAAAAAGCGGAAGAAACGGAAATGCAAAAGGTGAGAAATTATTTTTTGCATGCATTTTAAATGGCAGTAAACTCAAGTGTAATTACAACTAAATCCAATTCGTTCTTCTCGAAATGCCCCATTTGCAAGGGCCTTTCTTGCTGCTGCTTGCACAGCAGCAGCAGCAATTAACAGTGCTGCTGCTGCTGCTGCTGCTTGCACAGCAGCAGCAGCAATTAACAGTGCTGCTGCTGCTGCTGCTGCTGCTGCCTGCACAGCAGCAGCAGCAATTAACAGTGCTGCTGCTGCTGCTGCTGCCTGCACAGCAGCAGCAGCAATTAACAGTGCTGCTGCTGCTGCTGCTGCTTGCACAGCAGCAGCAGCAATTAACAGTGCTGCTGCTGCTGCTGCAGGCGCAGCAGCAGCAGCTTTAAATGCTTTTTGAATATATTTTAAAGTTTTTAATTCCCCATTTGCAGCTCAAGGAGGCGCAGGGGATGGAGAAGGAAGAGAGGGAAGAAAGAGGTTTGTTTTAACTCGGAATTAAAATTAATTTATTTTATTTTATTTTATTTTTTTTTTTTTGCTGCTTTCGAAACTGCTGCAGCAAAGTGGGAACAACTCCTGCAAGACTTGAAACGCCCAAGTTCAGAAAAGAGAAAAGAAATCGCCAGCGAGGAGGTGAGAGTTCATTTAATTATTTTATTTAAATAAATAAAAAGAATTTAAATTAATTTGAAAATAATAGTTCAAATCAATTCAAAGATAAGTTTAAGTTTTAAATCCAAATTGAAGCAGCAACAGAACTAAAGAGCTGTCCACAAAGACCATTTAGTTCTCTTTCTTTTTTCTTTTTTTATTTATTCCTTTTTATTTCCTTTTTATTTCTTTATTTCTTTTTATTTCTTTTCTGTTGCTTTTCTTTTTCTTTTCCATTTCTTTTATATTTCCGTTTTTATTTTTGATTTATTTGCTGCTGTCACTACAGCTGGCGATTTGCGACGAGAATTTCCGCGAAGAAGTCCAGAGGCTTCGGACTCAGCACGAAAAGGAAATGAAGG